TTTAACATATATATATATTTAATATATTTAACATATTAATATCTTGCATGTTTAGTTAGAATAAGATTATGATACTTGTGTGTATGATATGTGTGTGTGCGTGCGCGCGCGTGCGCGCGTGTGTGTGTTTGTGTGTGTGAAACAGTTTTATATATATAAAATATATAAAGTTTATTATTTTTTTCAGACAAAATGTTTTTATAATCAAAACAAATGATATTGCTACAACACAGACCATATTAAAATCTAATACTGTAAATGCACATGTTGTTAATGAAAATATTGTGAGCATTGCAGATAATACAGGTAAATATCAGCAAGTGTTTGTACTATAATCTATTTTATAAAAAATTAAATCTGCAAAGCTATCTTTTATTATATCTTAGTATATTGTATAAATAACAGTTAGTTACTTATACAACAATTCTTTGATATTTTGTTTTACCTATATTACGAATATAAATCTTGTTTTCCAGGTACTAAGGCAGAATGTAAAAATGAAGGACAACAAGCACAATGGGTAAAAATGCAAAATGCTGCTACAACGACAAAACAAACATTGTTGCAAGAAAAAAGTTTAACTGCCGTTATAACTAGAAATAACGTACAAAATAACATTGCATCAACAGTGAGTTCATGTATTGAAGTAATTTTTAGACAAAACTTTAATTTATTCTTTCATGCTTATCATCTAACAACTTTTAGCCACCTCTCTATATAAATTCTGGATCGTTAAGTTCTGGACAAACAGAAAAAAAACTAGTTAAATCTTATCAGAATAAAAATCAACAGTTGTCAAATAACGTACAGGCAGGTGCGGCATCTCAAACTCTAGATAGAGTAAATGCAAGAATTACAATGGAAAATCGAATGCAAAATTCTACTGTGGTAGGAAATTCCAAATCTGCGATGTCCGTCTGCAACAAAGCTGTTAATTCACTGGGACAGACTGTAACTGTAAAGCCAATTCGTGCTTCTAATCCGAATATGTCGCATCAACGGCCTGTAGCCGTAGTTCCTCCCGAGATCTCTAAAACGCCGTCGAGGGTACAACCTCCGGATATGGAGAATTTGAATGAACAAATCAAGCAAGCCAAGATCAAGCATATGCAATTACAACAGCGACAGCATGCCGAGAAATTAAGGTTTCAACAAAATAACGCACAACGACAACATCCTAACACTGCGCAGCATCCAGTTCAATGCCCGTCGAATAATCCTGCACGTCGCTTGACAACCACAAATTCTGTACAACAAAGAACGCAGCAAGTTTCAAACTCTTCGCAAAAGCAACAAATGCAACAAAAATCATCTATGGTAACGTCGTCTCCCTCCTCAGCTGAACATAATATGCACGTTAGTAGTACTAGTATGGAAGTCGATCCTCTGGAATGCGTGCAGGAGAAGATACATGCAATGCAACAGTCTTCTTCACCACAATCGGAACACGAGAATTTAAATGAGAGCGTCGCTTATCTTCAAAAGATTATTAATGATCCATCAACTGCTATAGTTCAACATCAAATTAAAGGAAATGAAGCAAAAATGTTAGTAATATTAGGTACCGGAGAACAGAGATTAATCACGTTTGAGATACCGAAAGAGGACTGCACTGTACACGACCTATTGGATCAGGTACGTGCAGTCTTGGGTCAGGTATGTCTGTATAATGTTGAAGATATGTACATTTGAAAAATAGTACAGAATGATTGATATATTGCTATGTAGTTGGAAGGAAAAAACAGGGAGATTTTAGAATATCACAAAATAATAAATATAATATTCTCACAAGATATTTTCTTTTATTTGTTTAAATGTTTTTCTTTCTTTCTTTCTTTCTTTCTTTCTCTCTCTTTCTTTCTCTCTCTTTCTTTCTCTCTCTTTCTTTCTCTCTCTTTCTTTCTCTCTCTTTCTTTCTCTCTCTTTCTTTCTCTCTCTTTCTTTCTCTCTCTTTCTTTCTCTCTCTTTCTTTCTCTCTCTTTCTTTCTCTCTCTTTCTTTCTCTCTCTTTCTTTCTCTCTCTTTCTTTCTCTCTCTTTCTTTCTCTCTCTTTCTTTCTCTCTCTTTCTTTCTCTCTCTTTCTTTCTCTCTCTTTCTTTCTCTCTCTTTCTTTCTCTCTCTTTCTTTCTCTCTCTTTCTTTCTCTCTCTTTCTTTCTCTCTCTTTCTTTCTCTCTCTTTCTTTCTCTCTCTTTCTTTCTCTCTCTTTCTTTCTCTCTCTTTCTTTCTCTCTCTTTCTTTCTCTCTCTTTCTTTCTCTCTCTTTCTTTCTCTCTCTTTCTTTCTCTCTCTTTCTTTCTCTCTCTTTCTTTCTCTCTCTTTCTTTCTCTCTCTTTCTTTCTCTCTCTTTCTTTCTCTCTCTTTCTTTCTCTCTCTTTCTTTCTCTCTCTTTCTTTCTCTCTCTTTCTTTCTCTCTCTTTCTTTCTCTCTCTTTCTTTCTCTCTCTTTCTTTCTCTCTCTTTCTTTCTCTCTCTTTCTTTCTCTCTCTTTCTTTCTCTCTCTTTCTTTCTCTCTCTTTCTTTCTCTCTCTTTCTTTCTCTCTCTTTCTTTCTCTCTCTTTCTTTCTCTCTCTTTCTTTCTCTCTCTTTCTTTCTCTCTCTTTCTTTCTCTCTCTTTCTTTCTCTCTCTTTCTTTCTCTCTCTTTCTTTCTCTCTCTTTCTTTCTCTCTCTTTCTTTCTCTCTCTTTCTTTCTCTCTCTTTCTTTCTCTCTCTTTCTTTCTCTCTCTTTCTTTCTCTCTCTTTCTTTCTTTCTCTTTCTTTCTTTCTCTCTTTCTTTCTCTCTTTCTTTCTCTCTTTCTCTCTTTCTTTCTCTCTTTCTTTCTCTCTTTCTTTCTTTCTTTCTTTCTTTCTCTCTTTCTTTCTTTCTTTCTCTCTTTCTTTCTTTCTCTCTTTCTTTCTTTCTTTCAATCACATGTTATATGTATATGTATATGAGTTAGTGTATATGTATATGGGTTTGTGTATATGTATATGGGTTTGTGTATATGTATATGGGTTTTAAAGTTATCAATGTGTGATTAAGTAATAATAAATCTGTTTATGATTATCTCATGTATTATATGAAAATTTTTTTAGATAAACATTACATTCTCTGGTAAAATAGCAGTTTCCTTGGTAGATGATCCCACACTGGGCATAAATTACATAGTAGAAGAAGGATCACTTATATCTGATAGCAATGATCATAGTGATTGTAATACTATTCAGGAAGTTGTAAGCTCCACTACAACCATTGAAAGTTTATCACAAAATACCAAGTACGATATCTTAATTGCTTCATATATTGATATTTTTATGTTCTATTACTAAAATGCTAAAATGATAATGTTTTTAGTACATCGGATGAAAACAGTAATGCATCTCTATCAGCTGAGGTAAGATCGCCAATTTATTATAAAGAAACTAGAAGAAAAAAGGATATTGGCATGAAAATTATATTATTGATTTTTTAGTTCTATTTTTACACATAAATATATTTAGAATGACAGAATTCTCCCTCTGTACATTAAAAACGAGATAGATATATATTTAGAAGTTGAAGAGAAAAAGAGGAAAGACTTAAAGTGCAAGAAGTTTAGCTACAAAGAACAAACTATTATATGAGTTTTTTCTGTGAAATACATCAAAATAAATAAGTTTTTTGAATACGATCACTCGTGTTCGATAATATGGATTATTAAAATATATCGAAAACTTTCTATTTTTGATTCGTGAATTAATAAATAGCTGTAAATCTTAGTCAACTATCGTAAGGTTTATTTTCGCTGAAAACTTATTATGACAATTGACCAAGATTTATAGCTATTTATTAATTCACGAATCAAAAATAGAAAGTTTTCGATATATTTTAATAATCCATATTATCGAACATGAGTGGTTGCATTAAAAAAAACTTATTTATATTGATCTAGTTTGCAAGCATAAAACTCATATGATTTCTCGCTCTTGACATCATATTTCAATATGGCTGCAGTGAGGACATAGGAGCCTTAAGTACTGAACTGCATGAAAACCAATACTCGATGATATTTGTATCATGGGCTGATTTTTATCATTAATTTATAAAAAAATATAATTTATGTTATGATTTATATTTATCGTAATATTTTTTATACACTATGCCAATTCCTTTACTTTAATGTTATAATGATAATAGACATTAATATAATATTTATTTAGTTGATATTTGTATGAATGATATATAATATTTTTTTTAAATACGAAGTGGAATAGATAGTATATAATGTAGCTAATAATAATCATACAATACAAATGTGATAATGTCACATTGCTGCAATTGATAAAGATTTTATAATAAATTAAGGGAGTACACCTCCCTAGTATATTATTGAAACAACGTATGCTACAAGTACGAAGTATACCGTGTTATTACTAGGAGCCTATTTTGGTCAAAGGGATGTTTGCTCTCTGTCCACACTGCGGCTACAGTTCACTCCACTTCAACCGATGTGAACGATGTAATACAAAATTAACTGAGGAAGTCAAGTCGATACCTATAGCAAAAAGGAAGGAGACTGGAATGTCTGTCGATGTAAGGATAATGACTGCGGTGCCAGAAGACCGATATTATACTTATTAATGCAATGTTTATCTGTTTTAATGATCGATTGTGTGACTGATCAACGATTAACAAATTTAGATTATTTAAGATATTTGTGTATTAACATTTCTTGATGTAACAAGATGTAAGCGCTCTTATTTCAGCATATGTTATTAAGAAGTGTTTCATGAGATTTAGAAAGAAGAGTTAGTTTTAGAATTAAAACATTCTGTATTATTGCCATATCATTACAGGTCATATTGACAGCAGTTTACAACAATCACCTTAATATATCATATATTTCTATTTCTGTATATAATTTCTTTCATCAGTATTTTTCATGTCATTTGTAATTATATATTACAATTGTATCTCTTTACAGATGTTCTATAAGAAAAATAATGAACGAAATGCCATAAAAACAGAGAAAATGGATCAAGATGGTCCTGTATCCAAACGACCCAGAGGAAAGAGTAGAACTAAACCAAAGCCTATTCATAAAGAGCCAGGTACGAGAATGTATTTAATGTACAAAATATATGCATAACCTTAATGTTTATTTTAATTATTAATGTTTATGTTAATTATTAATTTTTAGAATGTTTGACAATATCGTCTGACGAAGAAGAGGAGGGTAGGATTAAAAAGATTGAAAGTGTTAATAATAATACACCATTAAGCAATGCAAGTAACGCTTTTAACGAAGATATGGACACCATTCTGGAAAAAGAACCAATAATTACAAACACTGCTATTTTTAATTCATATAATGATTATCTGGCGAATATTGAAGCAAGCAGTGAAGGTAAATGTTTTATTAAAAAAGTATATATAATTGAACAATTAAAATATTGACTGATTCCATAAAGATACAGGTATAACAACAGTAATGTAAAATTTTAGGAATTTGTGATAATCAGAGCTTCTTAGATAATGAACAATTACCACAGATTGCTATAGAGTGTCGAACAGTCAGAATAGGTTCTTATAAATATATTCCTCGGGAAAACGTAGTGATTTCCCATAGTGGTGTAAGATTTAGTGTACCTTTGTTAGAAGATGGTAAGTTCATTTTACTTATTATGAAAAGACATTTTATAAAGGCATTTATTTTAAAATATTCTAATATTTTATAGCTACAAGTTTTGTTACTCTGGATGTCAAATCTAAAGATATAGTTAAGCTATTGATCCATTTTGGGAAAACAATGCCGGTATTATTCTTTTATACATCTACAAGTGCAGCCGCCATGATACGTGAATTACTAGGAATGCAAGATCCAAAAGGACCATATTACGATCCTGCTGGAAAAGGTATTTACACAACACAGGAATATTCTTTGTTTCTGTCAAATAATTATTTTCAGCAATATTATTTATTTAATTTTCGTAATTTTTGGCACAACATATGTATTGTACAGAAAAACATAAGATTCTTAACGAAAATAGTTAACATATTTTTTTACCTTATTACTTTTTAGATCATACGCATAGACGTATTACATTATTGTCAGACAAATTACCAGACGATTCGAGACCCAAATTAACGAGTCTGTTTTCACATGGAAATAAAATAGACGAATTGAATCCTAAAGAGGCGAATGATATACTTTTACGAGCATCGCCCAGGGATGTATGTATTTGATTAAATTAGTTTGTTATATATATATATATATATGTAATAATACATACATATATATTCTTATATATGTATTACTTAATCTTTACAGAATCAACAACCATCTAATACTATTACACGAAAACAGAGTCAAAGCTTAGTACCAAATATTGTCAGTGTCAGTGACAGCATTCAAACGTAAGATTTTGATTTAACAATCGATTTTTTATTTTTTAATAATTTAATATTTTATATGCGCAAATACACACAAATAAAATATATTTTGTAATTTTATCTACATAATCTCTGGTATTTTTTTCTTTCTGTACAGTTGAATACAGAAATTGTTTCTTTTTACAGAATAACTGTATATCCACCACCTCCTGCAAAAGGGGGAATAGCCATCAACACTGAAGATTACTTATGCCTTGCGGAAGATCAGTTTTTAAATGACGTGATTATAGATTTTTATTTAAAGTATCTAACCTTAGAGATATTATCAGAATCTGATCAACATAGGACTCATGTGTTCAGTTCGTACTTTTATAAACGCTTGACCAGCCCACATGCTCAAGCTGCCGAAAACATTGTGCCAATGACGCCTGCCGCCAAACGACACGCAAGAGTACAGAAATGGACAAAGAATGTCAATATATTTGAGAAGGATTTTATTATAATTCCTATTAACGAACAGTAAGTATTCCTAGATTTTCGATAATCGAATACACTATATATTTTTATATAATGACAATATAATAATAATATAATAAAATTGTTTTTATAAATTGTTTGTAGCGCGCACTGGTTCTTGGCTATTATTTGTTTTCCTGGACTGGTTGGAAAAGTTTCTACATGTGCTATGAAAACAAACGAAAATGATATTCATAAGACTATGAGAAAAAGTAAAAGGCTGAAAGAAATGAAAACAAAAGCTGTTACAATTGGCTCTACAACTATCACTCCTGTACCTACGACCATAACGATAGATCAACAGGATGATGGATCTGAGAGAGACGAAGCTGAAGGCGACGATGAGGAGATGGAAATGGACAGCGATGAAGAGGTAAAATAAATTTTATTAATGATAATTTTCCCTACTTTGAAACAAATATTTTGCTTACACAGGACGAGACGGAACAACCAGAAGAAGATAAAATCCAACTTCCCATTAAAGTTGAGCAGCAAAAAGAAACTGTCAAAATGTAGGTACATGCACACATACACATAGACAGTGTACAATCCATGCAATTTATCATCAATTAAATATTTGAATAATTTTATTTACAGTCCTTGCATATTGATATTTGATTCGCTTGCTGGCGCCAGTAGAGCACGAGTAGTCGCTACGTTAAGAGATTATTTAAGTTGCGAATATTTTGCTAAACTTGGCATAGAAAAAACATTCTCGAAAGATACTATTAAGGGAGCGTGTCCGAAAGTACCACAGCAATCAAATTTTACTGATTGTGGATTATATGTATTACAGTATGTGGAAAGTTTTTTTAAGGTAAGAATACATACATTATATATATACATATAAAATATGAATATAATTATGAGCTCTTTGTCCCCCTTCTTAGGATCCGATTAAAGATTACACTTTGCCAATTAAAACTTTGAAATCGTGGTTTGAGGAAATTATTGTGACAAGAAAAAGAGAGGAATTATCAAAATTACTAATTAAATTGATGAACAATACCAAAGGGGATAAAACTATCAGTTTGCCTACTGTGAATTTCCCCACGCAAGACGGCAGATTGAAACCGAAGAGTGAAACTCAGACAGACATAAAACCCACGAAGCCGGAGGTGGAGAATAAGAAAAAGCCTACAAATATAGATACAGAAACACGTATTGTCTCGTTTATCGGAGAAAATACTGAATCCTCTAATGAATTCGTTAGTAGTAGAACTTATCAGATCATTCCTTATCCTCTAAGTTCTAACTCTGAGAGTAATACAACAGAAATGAATGTGACTGAACAAAAAACTACGAGGTATAACACAGTATATCTTTTATAGTTTTGTAATTGATAAAAAATTATTTTCCGCACTACTAAAATATGACCATACACAACCGTATGAACCGTTTTCCTGATTCGACTTCCCATTCACCGCAATTCTCCATGGACAAGTTCTCCGGAAACGCTTTTTCCCGAAACGTATTTCCGTACATATCAAAGTGTGATACAATTCTATATAAGAAACTATATGCAAATTTTTTTATTAAAATTTTTTCGTATAATTAAATATAACAACAGCCATATTTTAATATATCAAACATTTTATTCACTTTTAGATCATCGAGTGAAACGATGTCCTATTTAAAAGCTAAACGAATTCCTAGGCTAGTATCAAGAACACAGAATCAAGACGACTCTCCTGCTAAAAAACATAAAGGGGAGTCCTTCAATTCCTGTAAATAAATGTTTTTTTTTCTACAGTGATAAGATTAATGTTAATCCACATTCACGAAATACATGAAATCATTTATTTCAACTTATATAATAAAATATGTAGTTAATTTCTTTATATCGAATAAAACTACAGATTTGATTTCAGATTGTACATCTGGCGTTCCTTTATGTGATTGATCTTATTTACATATACTTTGTAATGATTTATTTAATATCGGTTTATTAGATATACAAGATGTTTTTTTTATATTAATAATAAAGCAAAATGTATCAAATTTTAACAAAGCATCGTTCCGCAGCATCTACGATGTCATTGATGCATTGCGCCACCCAGTTTTCTACGAGAATTTTTATCGATTTTGTATTCGGGGAAACATAAAAGTACGCCTTCAAATTAAATTGTAATATATTTTATAATGAATATAATTTTATCTTTCCGGTATATTTTTTTGAGAGCCGATTATTTTGAATCACATCGGACCAATAGCAACAATTCATTATTGGACGATACTACTACGCTTTGAGACAATTTCAGCGAAGGCTATATTTAAAGCCGCGCGACATACCTATGTAGATATATTCGGTACTCGTAGTTTTAAATAGCCGCTACGTGGAATCTACACTTAATGTGAATATTTCTTGCGTGAAGTATTTATGAAAACCGAAATAATAGTAGCTGATATAAAAAAATAGCCAGCGTGATATATAGTGAACTAACTTCGTAAGTTTTTACATTCTCAATTCATGTCAATTATTAAGTTAGAGAAGAATAATCTGTAGAATTGATAGAAATTAATTATATAATGCGCTTGTGTATGTTTGTCTCTCGTGTTCTTTTATTATTTAATACACATAATTATGTACGAGATACATTTGATAACTATTAATAACAACGATATATTCGTTAATTTGTTTCGATAATTTATAATATAAGAATAGAGAAAAATATCAATTTTTTTTCTATGATATTTAATTACATAACACTATATTAAATGCAAACTATAGATAATTAATGCATAGAGTTATATCGGATGTGCTTTATTGTGCTCGTACGTTTTTATAATGCCGCACTAATTTAAACGTCACGTACTTTAATAGGATAATGCCTGGATCAATAGACTTGATAGTATCTACAACATACATTGGAGTTACGATTTGGATAGCATATTGGCTAAGACTCTATGCATTATTCTATCTTAATTCTTATCCTCTCACGAGGATTCTGGCCCTAGAATTTATAGCTGCGGCTGAACTTTGTGGAGCATGTTTCGAACTCATTATAAGTAAGTTCGTGCGTATGACTCTACAATAATTATTTTCTTTATATCAATATAAAGCCATTGCGGCATTGTAGGATTAATTTTTGATAGACCAGCGCATTTAAAAATGGAATTCGAGCATTACTTAGATTGCAAATATTATTTTATATATTCATCTTTATGTTGTAGATTATTATATATTATGTTAGTATAATTATCCATTTTTTGTATCTATTTTTAAACGTTTGATTAAATTTTTCCACATTAAAATTTTCTATTTTATTATATATCGCACTAGTAACTTATCTTATTTAAGTGCCTCATTCTCCTTCGGAAATGTTAAACTTGTCTCTAAAACTAAACAGTTGCGGACAATTGGGGAGTATGGATGTACGCGCTTTATCTGTTCTTACTAACGATTTGGTGGTCAATGAACTGGGATGAGGCTTCAGCGTGTCCTTATACACATATGGAGGATGTAGTTGTAGGTAAAAAACCCTTGGGTGTCGCTTTTCTGTCGATATGTGCAGAATTGGCCGGCGGTCTCATCATATTCAAATATATTCAAATGTTGTGGGCGCTTCAACTTGTTTCTACGCACAAGAACAGGGCCTATGAAGATTGCACTACTGATTTACAGGCAAGAGCAATCGCGTTTGATCTCACAGCAGTATTTAATTCGCATATAAATGTGCTATCTCATTAAATGAAATATTAGCTTTTATGTCACACTCTTATCCCACACAAATTATACTTTCAAATATTATAAATTTATTTTTACATATATATACATATTTATATTATAATTAAATTGTATTATAATTTATACGCGTGGTATATTATATATTATTACATAATATGTAGTGTGTGCTCTTATAGCTTAGAACAATTTTATTATTAAATTGATGAAAATGTAACGCGATTTTTAGGTGTCTGTTATAATTGGAGCATTTGTGGAATGTATTGCAACATGTATATGTAGAGTGGTATCCCATGTATTGGGTGATTTAAATCCGAGGTTTAGTATGGTCATTGATGCTTTCGTGGGGACGGCTTTGGTGGTTGCAGGTGGGCGAATCAATACGTCACACGATATAAAAATGTGAATTTATCTTTATAATTTTTTCGATGCATACGATGTATTTCAGCTTTCAATTATACCGGTGGTTACTTCAATCCCGTTTTGGCGACTTCTCTAAAATACGGTTGTCTGGGAACCACGTCTACGGAGCATATAATAGTTTATTGGATTGGAGCGTGTATCGGGTCTGTTGCCTCTTTACGCGTGTACCGTATGCCGTTTGTTCAAAACTACATTCAACTGCAGGAGAATACGGATGCTGTATATTCTTAGATAAAATTTATATAAAAGGATTTTTAAACAATTTTATAGATGCCCGGTATTTATAATTATGACTTTTATTTAATAACATATTTCTTGCTTTCCATTAACGTACAAAAAAAAACTAATTGTGTACAAAATTACGTGCCAAACAATAGTATTATACATTCCGATTGTGATTATCGTTAATAATTATACAGCTGCGCACAATCTTGGAAGATGAAACAAAAAAGAAATGCCTTAAGATTTTGTTGAACTGTATTAATAAATATTAAAAAAATATATTATATAACATATTGTCGTGTGTGTGAAAATACGTTCTTACCTTTGCAATTTCTTCTCAAAAATTAATGAAAAAATTTAATATGTACGTATAATTGAAGAGAATTCATGATGGGATATTTTGATAAAATATTTCTTAAACGTCATTTTTTCATTTATCGAGAGATATATATATTGATAGATACATAGATATTATCAATAATTAATAAATTTTATATGACAAATTACAAGCAGTTAAAAAAAATAATTTATATATAATAATTATGGTATATATATACATATCAAAACGTGTGAGTAATGTATAATTATAAAAAATATAAAAATACGTACATAACACAAAATATATATATAAGATAACAATAGATAATAATAATAAGTATGATGATTTTTTAGGAAACATTGAAGAAGTTATATATAAAGCTCCATCTTAGGCAATAAGTCATATTCAATCGCTTCATTCTTGTACATCTCAATATTCTGCAACATGATCAACAGATGTGCATTATATATTTCCAAGTGACGTAAATTTCATAAATAAGTTATGCAATTTTTTTTATTTCTTTATTATTTATTCAATTATTTATTATGTACTACTAATTAATTATTTATCTTCTCTATTCATAGATGTTGGACAATACAACAAAATATTTAATAATATCGTGATTTTTTTCTTCACTCGTAATGTAAAACAGAATCAAATTTCAGAACAGGAAACTATAATTAAAAATGCTTACTCTAAAAGCAAGAAAAAAATAGAATGCTAATATTGGTCCCTGTAATCCAATTGCAAAGAACTCGGCATCTTCTTTTATTTAAAAAATTAGCATATTTGTTACAGCAAATTTTTATCACTACGCATAGGCCTACCGCGTCGATATCCTTGTCCAAATCTGCCACTTGTTTTTCGTGCGTAACCTTCAGCTTTTCCTTTTCACGACCCTGCTTGATCTCCATAGTTTTTCTCTCATCCATAAATTTCTTTGTGTTTTGTTGCTTCTTTTCACGAAGCCGCCTATCCTTGTCACCCTTCGTTTTCAAAGTCTTGTCGTTCATTATCTCTTTCGCCGTTTCCACAGATATTTTCGCTTGATTGGCATTCATTTCCTTAGCGTCTCTGCAAAATCAACGTGTAATTTCGCGTGAGAAAAGATCGTGACAAATCAAAATTTATATCATTGCGAGAGCATCAATCAGCGAGTGTTATATAATCAATTAAAACGTGAACCAACTTGTCGTGTTTCGCCTGCATCTGTTTAACTTGTGTGGCTTGCACGACCTCGATCAGTCTCTTTAATTCGTCACGAGAGCCTTGCGTTTGATTCTTCAATAATTCCCATTCCTCCTTCCTCTGCTTCTCCATCATAGCGGACCATTGAGCCGTTTGTTCGCTTATAACTTTCTTCACATTAGCGTCTTGCGCCAACGAATTTTTGCTAAAAATGTCAAGGATACAAATTTCTCACATATTTCTCTTCTTTTTCTCGACACAGAATTATTAATTAAGTAGAAAATATCAACGTAAACGCACTCTTTTCCTTTAGTTAGCTTCTCGATGGCACTGCAATGATTCTTCTGCATGGTTTGTCTTTCCTTCATATGCTTTTTTCTCATGGCATCCAATTCTTTCTGATGCTTTTTGCCGGGTTTGAAACCTTTTTCTTTTTTCAAGAATTCTAGCGTGACAGGTTCCAATTTTAGTTCCTCTAAAATTATATAATAAAGATTGCACACACGTTTAATATAATTTCCTTATCGTTCTCTTATTGTTTAATTTGATATCATCTTTTTTTTTCAAACCAATATAAAAAAAAAAAAAAATAGACGCGATCGTATCTTTTATATGACTTTGTTATACCCCTTTTTGTCTCTTCCTCCTTCTTCTTCTTAGCTTCAGCCTTGGCATCCGTCTGTTCTATTCCGAGCCCCTTCATCGTTTCGCTCTGCTTCTCACTAGCCTTGCTAAAACCACCCGGATCCGACAAGGCAGCCATAAAATCTGGAATTGGAAGCGGGCTTGAGCGAAAGCGCCGCGAAAAATAGTACTATTTTCGAGCCGCGCTTCAAGCGTTACCTTCGAATCCATCGGGGACATAAATCTTCAGTTCTATGTTGCAAAAGAGCATCGGCAACGCCATCGGGAAGTTTGCTTCAGTCTTTAAAGAGATGTGTCTGTAGCCGGCCTGAAGACCGTCCAAAGGTAAGATTCGTTGCCCAAGCAACTTGCCATTCTCTTCATACACGCCTGCGTAAAATAAAACATGATTAAAAATTATATTCTGTTTATAGATGGCAATATTTATCTATTCACAAGGTTTAAAAGAGGATATTTTTTTATTTAGGAGAAATTTGCTTTATATATTATGATAGATACATTTCTATATAAAAAAATAGAAGAAAAAATAGAATCTCAGTACCAATTCTGAGCACCGCCAAGTCGGGAAGCACGACCTTTCGAAATAAGAATGGCTCCTCGTTGTAGACCGGATTCAGACCGTTCGCCGGCACCATTCGTGTTCTGAATTCTTTCTTAATTGTGTCTGCCGGTAGACCGTACATATCAACTTCCACGTACGTGCCCACCTTCTTGTCCGACAAGAATTGTCCGGCTATGATTTGAACCGCGCATTGCGCGGTGATGATACCGTCGACGTCCTCGGAAAAAGGATCGAAGCTTCGATCAGGTCTTCGCATGAAGTCGGGCTTCAGCAGGTAGCCCGTAGTCCCGTTGTACTCGAATTTCCCCTGATTGAGCTGTATCGGCAGATCCGGGGTTTGGAAATTCAAAGCTACCATCTGGCAGCCAGCGTTCCAGAAGACCTAGATAAATTGCGAGCGTATTGCATGAAAAAGTAATTATAAAATGAAAAAATTTATTAATTTTCTCTCGATTTATAGATAGATAACAGAGATCGAATAAATATAATAGTTAGCAATATACGCGAGTACGAGACTTTTGACGCAGCCTGTATATTGTTAGATAACGGGAATACATGAGTAATAACTCCACGGGGAATTTGAACGCGTTTGTGTTATTATTATAGCTGTTACCTGAGGCATGTAATTCGAGGAATCAGCCCTCGTGCCCTTTGGATATATTCGACTCATTTGCCGCTTGTTGTAATTAACGAACTCGACGGAGTGAGTTTTCAGATAGTTAAGAGCGGCGGTCTCGGAAAACGAAGACATATTATGATGTATATTCTTGCCTAGAACGTCGGGGTTGAGACATTAGTACATGTCGCGTGTGTGACTCGTGTACACGCTCGTATATACGTTCACTCATTTAATCCTTCTTAAGTCAGGATACATGTTTTGCCATTCGCCATTTCGGTTAACTTGAAATATACTTTTATATATAAAAATTGCAAAGGAACGTAGCATAAAAAATTCTTTACATTCTTTTAAATTTATATATTTATTGAAGATTTTTTTTGTAGTTTTATAAAATCTTATTAGAGTGCTTCCTAAGAAAAGTTAAAGACAGTACTTTAAAAGTGACACAATTGAATAGGTTCTTGAAATGATTATAGATTTGTTAGTTTGTTAACTATTCTGATATAGTTAATTAGAAAAATATGATATTTTTAAGAATTATATAAAATTACTATTAAAAAGATAGGTGTAGAAATTTCTATTGTATTGATATACCACGTACTCTCTGCCGCTTCAAAACTCTGAAACTTTATTGGTTGCGCGTAGTTTATCATCGAGGAAAGTAAAGGGTGAACCCGCATAGTGCTGCTCGTGTATTGAGTCACTTGTACCTCCTCGGTTCCCTCGCCCAAATATATCGAAGACAATTCCAGAAATTTTTTACTTTTCCAGAGAGAGGGAAAACGACTTAGTTTTCGTTTCTCTAAAAATTCATTAATGTAATTAATAACCTTTGGCGGCTCCGGAGGTGGAGCAACTGCGGGTGCGCTGGCATCTTCTACATCTTCATCTTTGTCTTCGAATTGTCCGGCACGGAAAAGCTCGAGCTCGACTTTTTCCACATCTGGTTTCAACCGCTTGTTCTTTATTAATATCTTGCGTTTCAATTCACATGGTGGAGGGAGAGGACACCCTGGCTCGAGCTGGAAAAATGTATTTACGAGGTATTGAATATTAATTTACTAACTGATTTATAAAAATAATTATTAAACGTGATGTTCTCACGATACGTATCACTTACAGGATAATCTTTCAGGGGCTCCTTTAGCAACAGATCGCCGAATATCTCGTCGCAATATTTTGCCAGCTTATATTGCTGTTTCATGCAGCAATGATTCTCGAAGCTTAAAATCACAGGATACTCGGTAGTGACAAATGCAGTGTCTCTTATAGCGTAGATCACATCCTTGAAGAGGATGTCGGTACACATAGCTTTGCCATGGGTTATGATGGGCTCCTCGTCTTCGCCCTTACCATCCCAACAATCCAACTCGACGCATCTAAAATCGAAATAAATCTTCTTTTATTATACAGAATAATTTTTTTTATCAATATTATAGTTAAACAAACAGTACCTGCAACCAGCAAGCAGAACTTGTCGATACATTTCAACGGTGCTCTTGCCACCGATTTGGCGACCGCTGAGGTAAGTGTTGTGGCTTGAATTAATGTAATAATGTGAGAGCGGTTGGTCCATCTCCATCCATTCATCTAATTTGTCTAAAAACACCGGCGCATTTTCATCCGACATTAAATACCGTATAAAGCCATCTTTCGTCAACTTTTCTGTGTGCAAAGTTAAATGAGGAATATTAGATTTTTTTTTTTCGATATCAAAATTAATGGTGGTAAAATAAAATTAAACTTGTCAGAGAAGCTCACTTTCCGCTTTCATTTTTTCGTCCATCTCGTAGTCATTGATGATTTCCGTGCATCTCTTCTCAGTGTACAAAGGATACAAGATTTCGTTGAGCCGTGGATCCCTCTGTTTCGTATTCATAAATTCCACGAGTTGCAACAAATTTATAGTGTCGACTTTTCCTTTTGTACTGTAAAGCGAAAACGATGACGTTTGCTTCGTAACGCGTGATATAACCGTCTGATTGTAAGTACTTACATTGATTGAAAAAGTTCTTCGATATCATTTCTAGGACAAATCTTAAAGTACAAACTGTAGAACTTATCGAACGTGAAAGCCTCAGGCTCTATTTTATCGTTCTAAAACGTAAAAGATTGCGGTTGGCGAAATATATTGTATTTTTGTTAGTTATTTGAAAAATTTGATGTGATTTCTCGCGTACAAATCCTCTTTAATAATTCTTTCTAGTAAACACTAAAATTTTCAAATAACACTAAAATAGTAGTTAAATAACGAGTGAATTTTATACATATACGAGATATCACATAACATTTTTATGAACTCATTTTTACGAATATCATTTGAGAGTAAAACATTTTTATTATTGAATTAATAAAACAACACGCCGAAAAAGTTATATCATTAATTGAAGATGGCTTTCTAGTTAAATTGTCGATAGCGTTTAATTGAGAGTTTTTCTTTCTACAAATTCTCGTATTTAAAGACTCACCTTTCCATTGGGCAAACCCAGTTCCGATAATCCTTGATAAACAAGTTTCTCGGTCTTTCCAGATGCAAAAGTCTTTGATATCACTTTCACAGGGACCTTTCCTTTTGGATCGACTTGAAAACTTAGCCGCATCCAACTGGCAGATTCGATCAGAGTCAGGTTTTATGTAATGATCAAAGGAAAAACATACCGTTAACGTTTAGACACCTATTTTATTATATTTTTATATTTTATATTTATTATATTTTTGTAAAGCTATATTAAATTTGAATTAATAAATACATACTGCTTCATAAGCTGTGTCGTCGGACAAATGTTAGACGCTTTTGTGTTATGCGTAATTAAACGCAAAGCAATCTGCCAATCCTGAATTAATCACAGGTCAGAAATATATATAAAATATAAAGAATAAGATGTATCGATCATATTAGTGATGAAGTAACATAAGTTTAAAATAGACGTAATTAAGTAAAATGAAGAGAAGAAATGTGTAATTAAATACGAACATAATTTGGTCGCGACTTTGAAGCAGAAAATTAATAACTGTCAACAACACTCTGTCAATTGAATTTATAGATTTTTTGAAGCTTGTATTTACGCATATAAATATTAATCAATGCTTCTCAATTTTTTAATTATTACCTTAGCTGTTTGTGCATCCGGACATACAATATGCTGATAATGGATGTTTGTATAATCTACTCCAGAACATATAGTTAAACTTTTTTCGTCCAACTGCTCCAACGTTCCATGTTTACTTAATTTGTTGCATAATTTTGGCTCCTAGACAAACCAATCATCCATCGTTATTTAATATAATACAAATTATTAAAATTATTATTTATTATAATTTTTTTTAGTCTCGCGCGAATTGTTTTTTCTTTTCAAAATTTACCTTTGGCGTGCCTCCGTAACGAATGTCGCTTACTTGAGCCAATTCTATGACATCTCCGTCCTATCGAAAAATCGTGAGTAATTTATACGCGCATTTTTTTGTTGGAAACTAATAGTAACCCGAAAAAAAATGGATTTATGTAATTATACATATAAGATTGATCGGTCCATTTTTTTTCGGGAAAATATTTATCTATTTAGAGAGATGCAGGTAAAAACTGTGCTACCTTGCCGTCGCTTTTCCAATAGATAAAGAACCCGTACTCGTCGGCTTTGAATAGGCAATTCGGCTCGTATTCGGTCGTCTCTTTATCTTCGAACCATCGATCGAATACCGCGCCCTTCGTCAAGAGCTCCGGTACTTCGATGCGCCAATTAAATTCGAACTTCTTTGTCATGTCTCGGTAAGTTTAAGCGGAACGCTATTGAGGTAAACTTTGACGTGAGCTAGTCCAATACTCGAATGAGATAGTGTCACCGCGGCACTCGTGTCCCAGGGAATGCATAATGCAATTAGTTATATCTAATTTACCGTATAAGGATTCAATGCGATCGAAACCCGCTGCGTAACGGAGATTCTAAACTTATATAAGCGCATTGTTATGTCGAAATCCGCTCTCCATATTGTATGGTTGCTTAATAGCCAAATATATGCAATGTGCAAATGATTAAGGGAAAAGAGTGAATGTGACATCAATAAATTTGATTAAATATTATTAAAAGAGTTAAATCGAGAAAAATACACATTCTTGGACAATACATAATTTATTAAAATTATATGATTAACAATGTTATACACGTATCGATTGCGATATATACAGGAATAGGATCCTACTTTGAATCAGTGCTGGTCTATAATCTCTATCACATGGCAATGGCGCAAAGAACAATAGTTTATACAATAAGTGTAATAACACACGTTAGCATATAATTCTATCTTAATGACTCTTTTGCAAGTAATTGCTATCCTTTGTAACGAGTATAAATAGTGGAATGTTAATTGCCGCGCAACTGGTGTAATGATTCGTGATAAAAATAATTTATGATAAGAATAAAACGATATTTGAAAATAAAACGATGTTAAATAATTATTCCTCAGAACAATTTTGACTTGTGGACACGAGTTAATTGTAATTATGAAAATTTAATTGCTCTTATGCATTACGTTATCACATCTGAGGCTTTAGTAGATAATGTGAATTTAATTGTATGGAAGTATTCATGTCTGTTTGAGGTTCCTTGAGAATGTCCTCCTCCAGATTGTGCATAGGCTCCATGCAGTATTCCTGACCGCAAACTTTGCACGCTTCGAAATGCGGCTTAATGGAATTCTTGAGTCTCTGCAAATAACATTTCTTTATAGAATACAAAATGCAATCCCTTTAATTTTTATATACTGTGCCCTAGTATTTTCTATTAGATATTATTCTGTATATTATTGTATAAGATATGTGTTTCGTAATATTAGATTTTCAAAGTAGATAATTAAATTCTATGAAGGATTAATCAATTTGCCTATAAATGATCAAATTCTACGAAGAATTTAATTATCTATAGGCAAACTGATCTTGTGGTTATCCAACAATGTACAACAAAATTCGACGTACCTCGGCGAACGTGACACCATCCGCTCGGACAAATACGTAAACGGCAAAAGCGGGAATGCAAATTAAGGAGAGAGACGCGATGCCCCATCCGATCGCCTCTGCCCACCATGGATACGTGTAGTCACCGTTGTGGTAGGTCGGTGGCTCGTAATCAATTAAGCTGAATACCCATACAGCCTGAGGAGGATGAGATAATTATGAAAATGCTAGCCGTGTTTTAAAGATCGCCGACTGCATCAAAAATGCTGAGCGTAACGTAACAAGAAACGGGGTTTAAAAGTGGGCAATTATATCCACGCAATCGTTATTTCCGAGGAAAAACAAAGCACTTTATATTTCTTTGAAGATATCAATTGCGCGCGAATAATTGCTCGTCTTTAATCCCAGTTCCACGTTTTGTCGCATTCCACTCAATACAATCATTTGTCTCAAATATTGCCTTTTATACATAGTTTCGATTCCGTTTGAAAACGAGAATCTGATTATAATAAGAAATATTCATCGATAGTCTTGCATACCATTATGAGTAGAGGTGCAGCGAAGAACCAACAGAACCGAAAGTACATCGAGGGCATGTGTCCGGTCATTTCTTTAACGTTATTGCACAGTCGCCGCACGCCGTAAAGCCAAGAGATAGCGATTACCTCGAAGAACGCCAAAAACATAATGGATATCGACGCGGCGTAATGATCTATCAGTTGGAAGAAATAAATACCACCCTGAGGCAGTCGGGAAATTAAGTAAGAGATAAACATCTAGTTTCGTATTATCATATAAGAATCGAATCGATTCGACGTCTCTGATTCTACCTGTGTGACATTCGGCAATCCGAATAAGAACGAGACGACGCATATGAGAAGAACCAACACTTCGTGACAGAGAAGATGACGCTTCACCCACTTTGGGAAACCATCTTGGATCGACGTAACGACCACTTCAACAACGGCAAACTGAAATCGCAAAGTTTACGTAACACCCGTTAAAACTATTACGATCTCTAAAATAGAAAGTTTGTAAAAATATATAATTTGCATCTATGTTAAGCGCGATTGAGCAAAACTCTGAGATTTAATTTCAAATTTTTTATTCAACTCACGATTAATGCTATTTGTACTTCCACAGATTTTTATATTGAAATACAGTTTGACAATAACAGTCGAGTTTATTTGTCAAGTTATTAATCAAGTTTATAATGTATGCATGGCTTGAAAGGAAACGTGTGTTTTTTTATACACACATCCTGTACATACTTACTTGACTGTTCAACGAAAGGCAGACCAGCATGAAGAAAAATAGTACAGCCCAGAATTGAGAAGCTGGCATCTTGCCTAGCGCTTGCGGATAGATGACGAAGACTAGACCAGGTCCTTGAACGGAAATTATGATTTATCTATAAAATGTCAGGCAGAGAATTAATCTGACGATGCAAAGTGGCGAGAAAAAAATAGAAAAAAAATGTACATAGCTCTTCGTAACATATAATGTGATATTATATATATATTTTTTTTTTATATATTATATATACATAATATATGTATATATATTTTTACATTTTTAACCTGACGCAAACTTCTATTTCTAATTCTATATACGTACCGTCAGTCAGGACATCTTCGACGGACATGTTTTGCTCCAGCGCTATATTGCCGATCGTGGCGAAAGAGAATATCCCAACTACTAGACTGCTCAAGGCGTTTATCAGCGAAACAGCGATGGTATCTACCAAGACCGTGTTGTGAAATCTGTTGTAACTCGCGAAACATATCATCGATCCGAAAGCAATACCTACAGAATTGAAGACTTGTGCTGCAGCATTTATCCAGACCTAAATAAAATTAATAATAACAATATAATAATCCTTTCTTTTCTAACGAAAAATTAATTATTTTTTCAGAATACCTTGGCATCGCCGAGCAATTCCCAGCGTGGATGAAAAAAGAATCGCAGACCTTTCGCGGCTCCCTCCAGGGTGAGGGAACGCGTGAGGAAGACGATGATCAGGAGGAAAGGTAACGTTGCTGTGAGATACCTTACGCGCGCTGACGACTTGATGGATTTCCAAATGGAAAAATATACCATGATCCACGCGGTTATCAAGCACGCCGCAAGTTCCCATCTCAAGATCCCTGGTTCTTCGATGCCGCTACTAATTTGCAGGACTTTCTTGCTAAGTAGAAAAGTATAACTATTTTTTTTTCAGATATTTCGAGATTGCGTACTACGCGTGTGTATTTTATAAAATTTTTTATAAATAATATAATAATCAAATTCTTTTTAATTCCTTTTTAGAAATAGTGCGTGGATATCTTGTTAGTACGTAATATTACAAAAATAATATGAATTAATA